TGCAGAAGAAGCAGGTCGAACTGAAGCCCGGACTTCAGCTTCCTTCATCTCAGCTTCTCTCAGCTCTGCCTCCCTCATCTCAGCGTCCTCGGCCTGGAGGCGAGCCAGCAAGTCAACTTCAGCCAGACTGGCTTGCTGCATATGAGGATCCGTGGGGTCCTCAGCCCAGAATTCACACTGATACCAATCCAAACCAGGTGCAGCATGAAGAGCCAGTCTCCGAGCTACCCCATAACCGTTGAGGTAGGCAGTCGAGTACTCCTCCTGGGTGTAAACCCTGAGGGCTAGCTGGGCCTCAGCATCGGCCAGCTTCTTCTGCACTTCCTCCATGGCTTTCTGAGAAGATTCTCGTTGTCTTTCCAACTGGGCCTCGGCATCAGCAAGCCGCTGCTCAGTCTGCTTAGCCTGGGCTTGGGCCTGGGAAAAGCGTTCTTCTTGGCTCTTCAGCTGAACCTCCAGACCTGTGATGCTTTGCCGCTGAGATTCCAGCTAAATCCCAGCCTCAACCAGCTCCTCTCCCTCACTTTGCAGGCCTCAAGGTGCTGTTTGACGTTACCCTCCAAGATCTTGATCTTCTCCCGAGATATCTCATCTCGGGCCAGCAGTTGAGATTTGACCTCAGTGTCAATTTTTTGCTGGATCTTGGCCTTGAGGCTGGGAACATCAACCGCGCCGAAGGCGTTGAGCAGGGCCTCACCTTCATCTATTTGAGGCAGGATGTCCCGCTTCATTTCAGCGCAGAAGGTGTCAAAGGAGTCAATCACAGTTTGAGCCCTGTGCTTGGCTTTCTCTTGCTTCAGCTGGGCAAGCTTTGCCTCTGTTTCAGCAATGTCCACCCTTTCCTGGAGCGTATTAATCATTTCGCAGGTCATGGTGTGGTTGTAGACAACCTGCAGCACCAAAATTAAATCTAAGTCAAATAAAAGTGACAGAATAAATTGGGGACGCTGAAAGTGCAGAATCTAGTCGCATACCAGCATCAGGAGCCTCTGGTTGTCTCGGGCAGGAATTGGCACTGAGGGACCAGGTTCGGCTATTCCAGCAGTGGCCCGAACAGACCATTCTCGGACTTGCTCCATTTCAGATAAGTCGGAGCACCCGCCGAAATAAGCCTCAGCGCTTTTCTTGTGCTTACCCCAAATCTCGGCCCTTACGCCAGCAGGAATAGAGCACTTCTTGGCTGAGAACCCCATGTCCCTAGATTGGAAGGATTTGAAAGAGGGGAACGAAGTTGACGGAACTTCATCAACTTTCTCGGGCTCAGTCGTTTCCCCTCCTTTAGTCTGGTCTCCTCCGGCCTGGACCCCTTCAGCCCCGCCGAGAGGTTGACTAATCCAGGCGTCAACCTCCCGCTGGATCTCTTCAGTGAAGCCCCTAGGGGCCCCGGCTTCAGCAGTAGCCGCCTCCTCGGCTACTTCAGAAATCTCAATTTCAGGGAGCTCAGCAGCGCTCCCCCTGTTGGAAACCCCTTCAGGAACCCCCGCCTTCGGATCAGGAGTCCGTTGGTCCACCTCCATGTCAGCAGCTGGAGGGGGAGTCTTCGGCGGCGACGGGATCGGCGGTGGTGGATGAACCGGGGGCGGAGGACCCCATGTACTTCTCGGAACCCTGCCCAGTCCAGCAGCCGGTTCCCTTATTACTACGCCGGGCCTCGGCCCCAGCGTAAAATCTCCTGGACCCATAACAGCTGGGCCCGTCCTTCTCCTCTTCCTCTGTTCCAGAGGTTGATCGTCCATATCGTCAGAGTCTGAAGTTTCTAACTCTGAAAGGTTGTCTGACGATGCCGGACTCTTTCCTTCTCTCCTTCTGCCCTCTTCCTCAGACTGCAAAAGTGGGGGGAGCAAGAAGGGATCAGTAAAAAAAAAAAAAAAAAACAAGCGCTGAAAGACTTACCAATGTCTTCGGCTGGACCTCGACAGCTCTAGAAGTCCCCTCACCACTCTCTAGGGAGTTGATGGCCCTAGTCACCTCTTCGGCAGCCTGAGCGGCGAGTATTTCCTCGGCGAGCAAAGGCCTCAAAGGATCCCGCTTTTCCCACCAGGGCTTCTGCCTCAAATAATCTGCAGCAGCTTCGATCTGAAAGCCCGTCGAGTGTAGGTGCAGAGGACGATCCTTCGGAGCAGTGATAGCTGGAGCTCGGTCTAGGATGACCCTTTCAACGTTCACTCCCAGCCGACCGTAGTCAATGCCAGAGGTAGCCTCACTCAACTCTGGAAGGAGAAGTTGAAGGTTAGCCCCAAAACAGACAAAACAAATAAAGCAAAGACAAAATAAAGTCCCCGGCCCCAGCCGAAGGTACTTACTGTTTCTATACTTTCGGCTGAGGCCGACAACTGCAAGCATCTTCTCTTGGAAGACGTAATGGTTATCGGGAAGCCATCGGGTCGGGAGGGACTTCAGCCGGCCGGTCCCCCCAGGATTTCTTTGCTTCCCGAAGAAGCTCATCTGCTGATAACTTGGATGGCTGGCGGCATTAGGGTCTTCAGGACCCAAATCTTGCATGATCGGATTGGTCCTGGAGAGATAGCGAGGGACCCCGAAAAAGTAGGGGTGCTCCGGATCGGCAGGGGCCCTCACCCAAATCCACTGACCTCTCCAGTCCTTATCCGAAGAGTCATTCGGCCACATAGTCAAATATTGAGGGCGGCTCTCTATTCGCCACCAGCCTGAAGACCCGTGCTGGCCGTACACACTCTGGGTGTTCTGCACTAGCTGATGCATCCTTCGGAAGCAATGCAAATTCGGCTCAACGGCAAAAAACCGGCACACCCAGAGATAAGTCATCACCCGCCGAATGCTGACAGGCGTTAATTGGCATAGGGAAATCCTATACTTTATTAGAATATCCCTGATGAAGGGATCCAAAGGGAACCGAAGCCCGTACTGCAACTGCCGAGTGTATACTCCCACATACCCAGGGGGAGGGCGATGAATTCTGTCAGTAGGCGAGGGCATTCGACACCAATACCCGTCTTCTTCGAAAATGCCATAGTGTAGTTCGATCTGTTCGGCAAACCGTTAAGCTTCGGCATGCCTAACCCACCAGTAATAAGGGGTATTGTCAGTCATAGCTCTCTGGGCTTCGGCATCCTGCCATTTAGCATGCCCAGGTAGCAAATCCCATAGAACAGGAGGCAGATCTTCCCCCTGTTCAGCAGCCCCAGCCTCGGCACCCTGCTAAGGGGCAGGTGCAGCCTCAGCCCCTTGCTGAGGAGTAGCTGCGTTTAGGGGGACCGCCGGAATCCCCCTTTCTGGGTCCTCCTCGATACGTTCTCCATTCCATACGTCGGCGCGGTCCCGGGGATCTCGGACTGGACCTCGTCTCCCAGTCTGGCGACCTCTTAAACGAGCCATGGACAATTTCGCGAGAAAGGAAGTTGGGAAAAGAGGAGTTCTTTGAGAAAACTAAGAGAATCAAGGAAAAATCGAGGAAAATTACCTTTATGAGAATCTAAACTCGCCGATTCAGTGAGTCGGAGCAGCGAGTTCAATCGTCGAGCTTTGATTTCGGGTGTACAGTGGAATTTCGAAGTGGAAGCAATGGTTTCTTGAGAGGATTCGAGATGGGATTGGTGAAGAAATGAGGAGAGAAATGGCGAAAATGTCTTATGTTTCCAGAAAATGAGAAATTCAAAGGTCAGAATGCTTAATTCCTCTTAAAAGCCTTCCTAAGTAACCGTTAAACTCTCTCTCGATTAACCGTCCACTATCCACTCAACTTCCCATTAATCATCCTAATTACAGTTATTTAGTTAATGACTGTTTAAAATTTAAATCTTTTGATTTAATTAAATCATTTACTTTCCTCCATTTTTATTGGATTCAAACCCGACCCGTCATCCTTCCAAATCGGGTCTGGGGGGCAAGTTGTTTGGGTCCAATTAAGCTAATTGGGCCTAGTCATTAAATGATCCAATGTTTCAAGGTCAAGGCCCAAGCCTCCAATCAAACCAAGTTAGCTATGTGTCAATTGGTCCAAATTGTCATGGTCAGCCCGTGACCCAATCCGGCCCAATCACTCTCCTCCCTTTGTTATGCCAAGGTATAAAAGCCTTCAATTACACTATTTGTCATATACATATAAAAGCCTCAAGCACTAAATCTCTTGCATATTTTTCTCTCTCTAAACACTGTTTGACTTCGGCATCGGAGGGGTCTTCCTCGGATCCACCCCGAGGCCAGTTTACGTGTATTTGCTGTGCAGGAAACCTTCGGCCCAGCATTATTTGGACCGGACAAGTCTTCATCCACTTCATTGGACCTTCGGCAAGGTCCCATTGTTTTCACCCGAAACAATGTGTGATCGTATGACAAAAGTGGAGCTGATTAGCTGAAGTACAAGTGCAGGTCAAGCCAGCATTACCCTTTTTCCTGTTTTCTGGGTTATATAACTTATAGCCACTAAAACAATGGTATAAAAATCCATACATCGCATGCAAATCTGTAATCATATTAGTAATGTGGTAATGCCATAGTAAAAGTAAATGGTGCAAACAATAAGAACGATAAGGAGTGATAACTTAGCAAGTAGCGAATTGAAACCTGATTGTGAGTGATGAGAAAGATGTCCCCTATAAACAGAAAAGAGCTAAAATAACTTCTCATAGGTAGGTAACGTAGAAAGAACACTAACAATACACAAAACATTTCTTACAAATGGTGTAGAAAGTACAATAGCAATGCATTTGGAACTCAATTCTCATTGCATTTGAAATTTAGACATGTAATTAAACTTCAATTATCAGGTATTTTCGAATAAACTGATGAGAATCACAATGACAGTTTTAAAGCCAGTAAACAAATTTAAAAATAGAAAAAGGAAAACCAAAGAGTTGACAATAACCATTCTACTCGTACTAACCTAGTTAAAGTACACAAAAGCAAGTTAAACATAAAGATTCATAGACAGCAGGAATTGCTATCTGCTGATCACATTCATCAGTTTAAGATAAGTACTAAATTTCTTTACATTACCAAAGAAATTAGGACTTGTCTTCTATTCATTGAATGGTTGATGTCGGACTTGTGGTCTGACTGTTGATGGTTACAATGAATCCGTTTTGAGACCTATCACGCGATGCATGGATGTAAGTACCAACAAACTCAATGTCACTGAGTAGAGAACTCTTTGGAGCAGCTAAGAGTGTGTTATATATCTGGTATTCCCACCATAGTATGTCTTTATTCTTGCCTACAAAATAGGATACATCACCAGAATGACCGATCCCATAAGCATAATCACCAGATGATATATGAAGCCGCTCCAAAACAATTGCCTTGCTAAGAATGTATTCCAACATCTTTAAATTATTGGCATTCGCTTTCATTTTCAATAATTCAAGCCTCTTGATTTTACTAAACAAACACACTGGAAGTGTATGTTGGACATCTAAGTTGTTATTGACACTAGGCCAAGTCCATCTAAGATGGGTTAGATTACAGAATATCGAACCAACATCAACCTTCAAGGAATTAAGAGCCTTGAAGAAATTCATAATGCTCAGGCTAAGAGACTTGACACCAGAAATCCTTCGAATTAGCGGTAGTATTTTGCTAAATTCATTATCGGTAAAAGGTCCATTAACATAAACATTAAGCTCTGCCTTAATCAGTTTAGTTGGATATCGGGCAAAGCTATAATGCCCAACCCTACCAGTTAGTGCAAGGTGTTCGAGCATAGGGGTATCAATGGCAAACTTGACCTCGCTCGGGTGATCAATAATCAAAGACTTCAACACGGGAGATGTTATATTCACATTCACTACACCATCATTGTAAAATTGTAATCCTAAAGACAGAACTTCCAAAAGTGGGCAAGAACTAATCAATGCCCATAATTTCTGTAAGTCGTCCCAAATAACGTCACCCAATTCAAGCTTCTTCAGATTAGGAAGAGTAACTATCCCCTTTACAACACTAGGCAATTTACATTGAAGCAATCCAACCAATTGAAGATGAACAAGTGATCGAATTTCAAAGATAGTACTGGGGAGAGTGGGCAGCGGAGTACGCGAAGGGGGTTCGCGAATAGCCTTGATTGCAGATACGTTTCGCTTAGAAATTAAACGAATCCATGACTTGAATTTTGCTAGGGAAATCTTAGAACTAGAATTAGGAATGTGAATGGTGAATGGTGAATGGTGAAGGTTTGGATATGTGGGGAGGTGTTTTGGCGGAGGATATGATCGACGGTATCTATGAATATTTGCTTTTGATTTGGGGGATTTCCATTGGCAGGCAGCCGTGAAAGGTTAACTCCGTCGAAGAAGAGGTGGGGGAGTTGAGTCCAGAGGTGGCGCCACCGATGGGATAAGACGGAGGTTGCGGCGGCGGAATTAGTGGGAGAAGTGACAGAATTTCGATCAAAAGGGTGTCTGGGAGTGAGCTTAATCTGTCTTCTTCACCATTGTTGTTGGAATTCTCAGAGGAAATGTGTAATTTTCTCCTCCATCTTTGGGAGGAGTTAGATTTTGATTTCTGTGGGTGAAAAATTAGGTTTGTTCAAGGCTTTCTGGGTTTTAATCAACAATATCTAAGAATCTTACCGAGCACGCTTTATTTTTATTTTTTTTAAACTTTATTTTTAGGCATATGAAATCAATTACTAGTACATCAAATAAGAAAAGAATAATATTTGGAATCTAACATTAAAGTGCAAAAACTTTAGAGTCATATCATCAATCAATTAATTTAACCAATCATAAAAATAGAAAATAAAAATAAGGTAAAATGGAATACATTCAATATACGTAATTACTAATGAAGAAAATATACCCTTAATCACCTACTTGTATATTCCTAACCTACCATAAAAAATAAACAATAAAAAAAAAAAGCGGCATCAACTCTCCATCTTCCCAGCACCATGTCCATTACTAATTCCTAAAGAGCTATCCCATCAGGCCATCACCATTAGTCCATTATATCCAATTTTAATATCAGACATATGTCATCGGTTAAAAACCATAACAATTGCTTCCCTAGTTCATTCAGTGACTTAAGTTACAACTCGCAAGTAATAACTAGGGGTGAGCAAAAAATTAGGGTACCCTGAATCAGAACCGGAACCTACCTGTTAGGAACCACAGGTTCCGGAACCAGAACCTATACAAGAGGTTCCGGTTCCGGGTAGCAAATTGGAGAACCTGTTGTAATAGGTTCCGGTTCAGGTTCTCAATTTTTTGGAACCGGAACCTATAGGGTACCCTGTACCTGATAAAAGTATCACTTAATTTCAAATTATACACTAATTCTTACTCAATATTTAAATAATAAATATCAAAATTACAATTATAAAAATATATATATTAAATTTGTTAGACAACTACTATTAGTTTGTCTTATTTGCAAGTTGCAAACATTATAAATTAGTGACCAACTAGTTTTTTTTATTAAAAATTCCGCGAAAAAGTTAGTGAGTATATTATAATACAGGGTACCCTGAATCGGAACCGAAACCTACAGGTTCCGATTCCGGTTCCCAATTCCCAGGAACCTGTTCAACAGGTTCCGATTCCGGTTCTCATTTTGAGGAACCTGTTGCAACAGGTTCCGGTTCCGGTACCTAGAATTTTTACAGGGTGCCCTGTTATGCTCACCCCTAGTAATAACCATAACAATGAATTGTCACCAAAAGGATTTAAATAGCCAAAAATGGACACAAGCCAGAATCAACAATTTAATTTAGGTGCTTAAGGTTAACAGATTAATCATACAATTACAAGGCTATCATTTAGAATTCCCCAATCTTTTATGGTGCAACAATTCCATCGACTATACATGCAACTAACTCACTTTTAGTATCAAAGAATAGAGACATACTAAATATTCCATCAATATATTTTTTACTTTACAAGGAGAACTGGTATTTCATTTATAATCTTAATAACTGACAAAATCTTACTTTGTTTGATTAAGGAGATAGTCAGAAGTTGGCATCATCACATTTAAACTGAGCCCTGAAACTTCTCTGGCTAGTTATCTGTAATCTACAGTCCTACACCACCTCCTCAATCTCTCTCTATTTCCCTCATCATCTTCATTGCACATTTGCACAGCAATCTCCCACTCCTAAAACATAAAGGGAAAATCCCAGAAAAAAAAAAAATAAAGGATCATATAATCACACAGTCACACCTCCCCCAAACTCCAAACCCAATTCCTCCTCCCTCAGTTCCTCTACCCAAAACCCCATTTCAACTTATACCTCCTTCCATTTTGCCACTCCTCGACCTTTTGTCCTTTCTCTTTCTTATTCCCAACACTCCTAAATCCGCAAATTTACTCCAACAGCAATCACTTATTGATAATAGTGATGAGGATGAACAACCCCAGATTGAAATTTCTGCAGATAAGCCATTGGTACCCCAAAAGCTGAAAGTTAAGATTTCAGTTCAATTTGAAGTTCTAGTGTTCAAATTTTGAAGGGGTCTAACATCGTACATTTGTGCTTAGAAAGTATCCTAGTAATGCACAAGTGATATATTGATTATATTCTTCATCGTACTATGACTCGTATACTCCTTCAGCCTAGGTTTGGTCTAGAAAATGAAAACTAACATTTATCTCATTGTAACTAGCATACAATGACTAATATGAGCAGTGAAGGATATCTATCCTAACGCAACTATTAATTCAAGGTGGAGGGAGTACAACCAACCTCAAACATAAAGTTACCAAATTTTTGTTTAAGGATTCACACAAACATATCTATATCTATACTTAAGTATTTAAAAACTCAAACCACAATAATTCATATGCCACATGTCCTCATAACTTATTCGTATGCCACATGTCCTCACAACTCACTCATATGCAAATGTTACTTCCCTTACCTTTCCAATATTAAAAAAATTAAATTAAAAATATTTCATAATGTTAAAGCCTTTGTGCATTCCGTAACTTGCACATTTAAGTAAGAAAATGAAGTGTTTAATTTCTACCATGATATAATAAAGTTGAATTAACTATTACATAAACATATAAATTATAGTAAAAATAGTCTTTTTATCTCTTAAACTTAAAATATAGCTTAAACTAATATGTCATTTCATATTCTACAATATTCATATATATATATATATATATATATATATATATATATATATATATATATATATATATATATATATATATATATATATATATATATATATATATACTTAAGTAAATTAATTATTCTTTCAAATTTCCACTCACTTTTTTTAAAAAAAAAAAAAAAAAAGTTTTCACAAGCATTTACTTCAAAAGTCATGTAACAATAGCTTCGCAGTTTCAACTATTGAAAAGCATACATTTATATAAAAATAACCTATATTATAACCCGTGCATTGAACGGGCCAAAATACTAGTTTTATATTCAACAAGAAATCAACTTAATGCAATAATGCAGTTCTAAGCTCTTAAACCGTCGCATTATCCAACTTTTCTAAGTCATTTTTTATGCTCAAAATTTCAGCTAATTTGCTTCCAACAATAACAATATTCTGCACAAGTTCACAACAAGCATTAATCAACCCATCAACCAAAAATTAAAGTCCTCAAAAAAAAAAAAAAAAAAAAATTAAAACCCCTACTTTTTTAATTTATAGAAAAAAAAAAACCTAGATTTGAGACATATTTTTTGAGAATTTGGATTAAAAGTAACTGAGAATTTTGCCAAATTCTCGTTTTCGCCAGAACCTATGGCTCGTACTTAAATCGCAAACAACCCTTGACGAATTTAATTTTGAGATCCTTCATAAATTTAACAATCTGCCCAGATTGAGAAATTGCTATTCAATTAATTTTATTTATTTTTTTTATAAAAATCACCTAACCTTATAACCTGATTCGATGGAGGAGAGAAAGCCCAGTTAGCACAATGCATTGCTTGTAATTACACTTCTATAGCAGGCTGCAGGTACTTTGATTTTCAGCGATAACAGATTAAATCTTGTTTTTATGATTTAATTGGGTGAATGTCGTGTTGTTATACTAAAAAATTAAATTGATTTGATCATGTTTTTGGATTAGTCAATGGTGTGAGATTATACATTGCTTGTAATTATATTTTCAGACCGATGAAAATGGGCTGCTGTGGATGCTTTGGGTTCTCGAGAAGGCAAAAATCGATTGCAAGGCTGAAGTTTCGAATTGATGGGTTTACGACTGTTACTACTCATAAACCTTTGCTAGATGATGATAATGGAGAAGAAATTGGGAAATATTAGATTTAAGTATGAACTACGGAGTATTAAAGAGGGTGAATATGTAAATATTCATTTTGAAGGATATAATTGGAAGAACACTATTTATAAGAGTATTCTTTCACTTTTTATAAGGTAGGGAAATATAAGGAAAATTGTAAAAAAAAAAAAAAAAAAAAAAACTATCAATCACAATAGGACACGTGTTCGGTTTTACCTATGAAATTGGTTACCAACCGGTCATGTTCTATTTATACCAGATTTATGTCAAAGGTCGTCTTATTCTGATATAATCAAATTTAAAGATCGTTTTATTTTTGGAAGACCACTCAAAGGTCGTTTTATTCTTGAAAATTTTCCCTTTTAAAAATTAATATCGTGAATTAAGTAAACTTGTAAATTAATACCGTAAATTTTTTTAAAAATTTTGGTTTTACGATCAGACTCCAATTAAGATCATTTTGACGTCACTTTTTCCCTTTAATCCACGTTTAACCCTTTGTAAATTAACCATTTGAACGACAAAAAAAAAAAAAAAAAAAAAAAAAAACAAGAAAAAAATGCCCCTAAACCACTAATCTTCCTCCTTCACCATTGCGAAACACCCTTCAAGATTCTAACACCAAATTCACAATAATTCTTCCCATCTATCCTTCAATTGCTCTAGGTGAACATGTAATTTGCCTCTACTAAGTTCTTCTTTAGGATTTTCGAATTTCAGGGTTAATATATTATGATTTTCGTTAATTAACATAGGGATTTTGTAATTTTTCTTTGAATTAAGCTATTAATTAAACATAATATATATGTCATTTTTCTTTGAATTAAGCTATCAATTAAGCATAATATGTGATTTTTCTTCGAATTAAGCTATCAATTAAGATTAAGTGTGATTTTTCTTTGAATTTAGCGAGTCATATCAGCTAATTCTAGCGTGGAATTGTAAATTGTTTCTTTTCTGTCCTCCTCCTTCAGTGATACCTCCCTTTTCCTTTATTGCTCGAATTTCTTGTCAATTTTGCAAAGTAAAGGATTTGTGGTAGAGAAGAAGAACCGTGACGCCAATTTGGTGAGTATTCTTCAATAGAGGTTGAAGGTTAAAGGGTTAAAGTGAAATTATAAGAGATAATGAAAGGAAAAAAGTTTTTAAATTTAGTTGGGGACTGGAGTAACCATGAGTTGGGGGATTTTTTTATTTTAAAACACTTAATTAATAGTTAAACGTGGGTTAAAGGGAAGAGTGATTTTATAAATGGTCTAAAGTGGAGTACTCTGGTAGTAAAATAAAAAAATAAAAAAATAAATTTTAAAAAATTATGGAGGTAATTCACATGTTTTTTAATTTGCAAAATTAAATTTCAAAATGACGTTAATATGCAATAGTAAATTTGAGATTGCCTATCTTTGATAAGCGATCTCAGTTTTTTTTTTCATTCTAGAGACCATTTCTAATAAAGCAGTCTCTTTGACAAAGAGGCGATTAACTAGAGACCGCCTCTAAGACAATCTCATTGGCCAATTTGGACGGGTCTCTTTGGCCCATTTTGTAGTGCTAAAATTCTCTCCCGAAAAGAGTAGACAAAGCTTGTCTTTTGAAGGAGATCGAAAAACCCTTATCTTTTGAAAGAGAGGGAGAAAAGTTTTTTTCAAAAGGAGGAAGCGTTATAAAATAAAAAAATAAAAATAAAAAAATAAAAATAAAAAAAGGAATGAGGTTTTCAACCGGTTAAAGCCGACAGAAGCCCCTTCAAAAATCAACAATAGAAACTAGGGTTTTGGAGGGAGGAAGGAGAAGATAAGAAAGATTATTATCATAAGGAAATTTTGCAAAAAAACCACCTTTTAAATCTTTTTTTTTTTTTTTTTTTTTTTTTTTTTTTGCAAATAACCACCTTTTAAAAAAGTTGTTGCAAAAGACCATCAATTTTAAAAATTTTGTTGCAAATTACCACTTTTTAAGCCAAATTTATCAATTGTGTTACATTGAATTGATGGTAAGTTGCAACAAAATTTTTAAAATTGATGGTTTTTTGCAACATTTTTTTTAAAAGGTGGTTAAATACAAAAAACAATATTTAAAAGGTTGTTTTTTTGCAAAATTTACTTATCATAATAGTCCACTATAGAGTGGTTTATATTCAACAAATACAAGCTTAAGTATATTTATGGTACCAATAATCAACTAAGTACTTATCAAATAGCTCAGTTCATTACTTAGCTACCATACCTGGCCTATCCACAAATTAGGTGAGATCGTTTTCACTCATAACTCTTCACAAGTTTTAGCGTTTACTTGTCAAACAGTAAAATTGAAATCAATGGTGGCAATATAACGTACACATAATATCCCCGTACTAAGTTCATGTTATAACACCTAGATTTACATTAGCCACATATTAAACTGATAGCCACATATTATTCAATTAGCCACCACTAATTATAATACTGCTAACCTACTTTGGGACCCTCATTCTTTCATATATTGCCTATAAATACATGTGTAACATTTTGCCTTTCTATTCCAAACCTAGAGTTAGTTAAGCCTTCACAAATAATTCTACAAGTTTATTACGTAGTATATTATTTCCTAGGGAAGTACTTGAAAATGGCCTATTCAAAGGCTGTGTTGCTTGCCCTTATTGCTATGACTCTAGTCATATGCTCTGAGGTCTCAGCTCATCAATTGGATAAATCTTCAACCACTGAGAAATTACGTGAGTTTCTATTGTCTTCTAATTTCTATTTTACGTGTATTAATCAGCTTGTGACGAATTTAGTATCCAGTTAGAACAACAAAATTATCATTACTTATTTTTTTTATAATCTTTTAATAGTTTTGAACTAATTTTGAAATTAAAAGCACACATTGCATGCACTTAGATCTCATTATTGCATGCATATGCAAGCATAATCAAAGATAAAAATTAGAAACTACAACTCGATAGAATGTTGAAAAAATGAGGAAGATTATTAAAGTTAGGGTAATTAGGGTATTTCTTGACCCATGAACAACCCACATATGAGCATTTCTTGTCTCACACTAAAAAGACTAAAGAGGAAGTACAATGGTAATGGAATCTCACATTGAAAGAATTAAAGAGTTACTACCACTATATAATACTAAGGAGTTACTCCCCTCATTGTCATATGGTTTTGAGGTGGAACCTCCCTGATCTAATAAAGTGGTGGACTTGTATTCTCTCGTATAGGGTGCGGCCAAATCTGTATTTGACATGGCTAAAGTATACTGGGCCAAATTATAGGTAGCTCACATGTGAGGGGGAGTGTTGAGCCCATAAACAACCCACAGGTGACCATTTCTTGTCCCACACTAAAAAGATTAAAGGGGAGTGTAGTGGTAATGTAATCCCACGTTGAAAGAATTCAAGACCACCACTATATAATACTAAGCGGCTACTCCCATCAAGCTACCAAAGTACTAGGGGGATGTCCATTATTCGGACTCCAATCAATCCAGTCCAAATAAGCTATTTGGATTGGACTTTTTTTTAATTTGGATTGGATTTGGACTAAAAAAATTTAAAATTCGGATTTTCGGATTGGATTTGGACTCAAAATTATTAAGTCTAAATAGTCTGAATTTATAAATAAATAAATAAATGTATAATAATAAAATAATAATAATAATAATAATAATAATAATAATATAAACCTCAATTAAAGTTTGTATTTTTTTATTGGTATTATGATTCTTATGAATTTCTTAGGAATTTTTTTATTTTATTATTAATTCGGATTGGATTGGACTGGATTAGGACTATGAGATTTTAATTTGGATTGGCTGGATTGGATTTTGAAAACTTTGGATTTGGACTATAAAATGGGAGTCCAAATATGTTTTGGATTGGATTGGACTGAGCTTAAGTCCAATCCAAAGTCCGAAAGGACACCCCTACAAAGTATCGTTCACCTCCGGCCCTCCCCAATGCAACCCCCTTAAATGGACCTCTTCCCTTCCCATACCACTGAAATCGGCCCCCCCTCCTTTCCTTCAACCCATCCTTCCCACCTTCGAAAACGATCCCAAGCTTCCGACAAATAAGGGCTTGTTTGACATTGTTTTTGGTTTTCAGTTTTCTGTTTTTTTGAAAATAAAAAACCAAAAACAAGAAACAAGAAAAAGGTGTTTTCACTTTTCTGTTGTCAGTTTTCGAAATTATCATGTTTTTAATAAGTTTGAATAATTTTTGATTCATCTTATGACATGTGTCATATGATTTTGAAAAACAAAAAACCAAAAAACAGAAAACCACAACAATGCCAAACGAGCCCTGAGGTTTTGGGGCTAGTTTGGGGTGGGGGAAGCAAGGGAGGTGTCGGAAATTGGTAATTGGAGCCGGAAATTGGGAATCGGTGTATGAAATTTGGTTGGGCATGGGAGGCCGTGGCCACCAGCAGTGGTTCATGGCTAGCTGGACATTGATTTTATTTAAATTTTTAAAACTTTCTTTTATTTAAAAAAACTTATTTATTCCATTAAAAAAAATTATTAATTTTTTTAACCAATAAACAAGTGACACATGGCAATATATATTTTAACAAAAACTTTAACCCTTTCTCTAGGTTACCGGTAAACAGGATTGAAAAAAAAAAAAACGCAGGTAAAAGTTGGGATTATTACATAATAATTGAAAGTTGGGATTATTTAAAGTAAATTGAGAAAAGTTGGGATTATTAAAGTGTATTTTTCCTGATATAATAGATCATTGACTCTAGCTGACCGGTTTGGGATTGAAGAAAAAGAAGACCCCAAAATTTGGATTATTCTACCAAAATTGGTGAAAGTTGGAATTTTTTTTTTTAATATTTTGCCTACAAAAAATAGCAAAAATATTTCGTGTATTCACAATTAATTAATTTTAATTTGGCGTTACTATAAGAACATGGTGAATTGATCTTTAAAAAAACAATAAAAAAAAATAAACGTGGTGAATTGAATATTTTAAATATAAAGTACTGTAGCATTTAATGTTTTTCAAATTTGATATTGATGTACTCCCTCCGTCCCTAAATTACATTCCTCCTTTCTATTTTTGGTATTTTAAAATTACATTCCTCCTTTCTATTTTTGGTAAGTTTTTTTTAGTAAATCAACTCTCTTTTTCTGTTTTATATTTAATGCTTTCTCACTCATCCTTACCTAATCTCACTCATAATCCTTGTGCCAAATTACAATAAATATGATTGGTTAAAAATTTTCAATTATGAGCATGTGATTGGTCCTTTTTTTTTTTTTTTGCAAAGGATTGATGACTTGTCATGAGTAATAACTAATCTATCTTTGTACTTTCCATTGCATAATTTAATTATTGTTATTTGTCTTATTCTTTCCTACTTAATTCCCGTGTAAATTTCCAAAGAAGAATGTAATTTAGGGGCGGATGGAGTATTGTTTTATGTACATATAATCACATTAAATGAGTTATAATTAATAAATTTACAAGTTATATTAAATATTTATGGCTTAACTGACGCCTTGGGACGCCCGTTAACGGGCTCGTTTTTATTTTGCATATAAAAAAATAGCAAAAATATTTCGTGTATTCACAATTAATTAATTTTAATTTGTGCGTTACTATGCGTGCGAGATTAGACTTCTCTTATGCACAATCAAATGAATTATAAGAGTGTGGTGCATTGATTTGAAATAGATGACGAATCATGTATTAATGTTATAAAAAATTAAAAATAACTAATAATACTAAGTAAAAAGATAATATAGAGAGTTTTCCAATGCTCTTATAATTTTGTTTCTTAAAGTTATACGAGTATTCACTTACCATGATTTGTGTTATATGCTTGTATAGATAAGGGAAAACCAAAAAATAAGCATGCCATATCCACATCATGTTAAATATCTTTCAATGTATCCTGTCAAAAAAAAAAAAAAAAAATATCTTTCAATGTAAAATTTTAAAATATCAACTTTTTTCTTACTATTATTTTTACCAACACATTATATAGATAATAATATGTACGATCAGTGGCGTTTTCAGTATGGATTCAATTTGCACCTTTTTTTCTTTCTTTTTTACTATTATAATCCATCAGCCCTTAGAGTTGAGGTTGTAAAATTGTCAATATTTTTTTTATTGAAGTTTTGAAATTGTTGATTAAATTAAAGTTGTTAATTTATTGTTTTTAGTAGAAAATGTTTGTAGATTTAAGCTGTGAAATTGTGATTTAAGTTATAAAGTTGTTATATTGTAATTATTTAATGAGTATTGGGTACATTATGTCCTGAATGATGTGAAATATTACATGATAATATGAATATATTTTTACTTGTTATTGTTTAGAGATGACAGGTTTAGATTATTCTTAGAAAGATTGTGTATCAAAATCATAAAATCATACGCTTAGCCGCTCAAAATGATAATCCAAAACCTCAAATCAATGTTTATTGTCACATTGTATTAGTTTGGAGATTCCGAACCCATAAAAATAAATTCCTGAAATGAAAAATCTAATGTGATATACTTCATAGTTGATATTTTGGATTTTTAGTAACAAAAAGGTGTTCAATGGACATATGGAGTACATCTGTATAATGTATTGTATATGATTATGCTTTGCAGATTCTGTTGAGGAGTCTAAGTATGGTCGTAGTAGAGGATATGGCGGACATGGCGGTGTTGGCTATGGAGGCGGAGGATATGGTCATGGTGGACACGGAGGTCGTTATCCACCAAAAGTAGAGGAGAACAAAGATCAAAAGAACGAAGCCGTAGATATTCTAGACGACTGTTATGGTGACTACTGCCACAGTGGTGGATATGGTGGATACTATCCCCCATCACCGACTACTAAGACTGTCGAGAAACAAATCAAAGTGTAAGTGATCGAGTTGTAGCTCAAAAATAAAGTGTGTGTACATGACTTTTACTACGTTTGTGTCTAAGGAAAACTATAATATATATATATATATATATATATATATATATATATATATATATATATATATATATATATATATATATATATATATATATATATATATATATATATATATATATATGAATGTTGGTAAAAATGCATTGTATTGTATAAGTTGATGTTAATCCAGCACGTAATGATTCTCTCAACCTTTGTAATGTGCTTAAAATTATGCAATGTAACGACTCTCTTTTAAGTTCTTACAGCTTACATGTATGAAAGAAAGTTGTGTTAGTACTTACACTACTGGCAAATAACGACGGAAAAATTTCGTCCGAAACATCTACACGTTTCTGACAAAATTCTACCGTAGTCGTCGACTACGGACAACTATGGACGACTACGGTAAGAAATTAAATTTGAATTGTTGATTTATTATTTGTCTAATCCTAGCTGTCCAATTCTACAGTCATCAAAGGATTTTTTTTTATTTTTTTTTATTTTTTTTTTTGTTTTACACACATTATCAATTTTTAAATATTTTATCTTCAACCTATATTATCTTTAACCTTACTAACATTCATAGGAATTAAATTTAACTTCATTTTCAATCTAAAACCTTCATCTTCAACCAAAACATTCATCATCCTTCATCTGTGGCTAATTTATTAAGAATGTAAAAGTAATATTGATTAAATTATACTATTACTTAAACATTATTAGAAGTATAACAAATTGAAAAAAAAAATAAATCATCTTAAGCCTTCATCATGATTCATCTCTATTATTAACCTCCATTGTCAACATTAAGAGCCTGTTCCGATTGACTGAACTCAGCTGAACTGAGCTGAACTGAATTGAACTGAACTGAACTTATTAATTAGTGATTTTTAACTACGGATTAGTGATCTTTGATTATTTATTACTATACATATGTGTATATACAAATGTACATATTAATAATATTATTATTATTATTATTATTAATTATTGATGATTATTATTATTATTATTTATTGATTATTATTATTATTATTATTATTATTATTGTTATTATTATTATTATTGTTACTATTATTATTATTATTATTATTATTATTATTTATTGATTATTATTATTAGTATTATTATTTCAATTATTATTGTTATTATTACTATTATTATTATTATTATTACTTATTGATGATTATTATTATTTATTACTTATTTATTATTATTATTATTATTATTATTATTATTATTATTATTGCTTGTTATTATTATTATTATTTATTGATTATTATTATTATTATTTATTGATTATTATTATTAGTATTAATATTTCAATTATTATTGTTATTATTATTATTATTATTATTTATTGATGATTATTATTATTATTATTTATTACTTATTGATTATTATTATTATTATTGTTAATATTATTATTATTATTATTGTTAATATTATTATTATTATTGTTGTTGTTGTTGTTGTTGTTTTTGTTGTTGTTGTCGTCGTCGTTGTAATAAGAGCTTAAAAGAATGAAATTTGGCTTTATATCATTAGCAATATCATTAGACGTAAATTAAGAGCTGAACTGAACTGAACTGAATTTCAACGGAAAAGAACAGACCCTAACATTGAATCTCCATTTTTTACTTCATTATTTACCTTCACCCTTCACCAAAATGTCCCCTAAATTACCAAACTCTATGAAAACGTTAACATGTAAAACTGTAAAAGCAATGTCAAATTATCACAATTATTATGTCTGCATTTTTATTTCATAGAAAATAAAATTAGTCAATTCATTTGAATCACATCTCAAGGGAATTTCTAAAAAAAACTAATTCAAAACTCATGTATCATGTTCATGTACAATAATTGTATGGGCTAAAATTATGGAGTACTTGATAGTACTAGTTATTTTGTCTAATCATAATCACCATTAATGAAAACTTTGAAGCTCTAAATATAATAGTTTGTACAAAAAATTTAAAATAAAATAGAGTAAAAAATAAAATAAAAAACGAAAAAGAAAAAAAAAACTTGCAGTCAATTAGGCGTGAATAGAGGATTTTTTTTGTTAATTTTTTTGGATAAAATTTATCTTCATTTATCTTTACCTAAAATAATCGTATGGTGCAAAATTATGTTAATTAGATTTCCTTTTCACCAAATTGGTGTATCTATTATATAAATTAATATATATATATATATATTACTTGTACATAATAATATGTCACACATTTTTTTTTTGAATATTCATATACATACAGCTTTTTTGGTTTGACTAATTTCGCATACATAGAAATACTAAATACACGTATAAGGTTGGAAAAGAAAAAAAAAAAATCTTGTTGAGATAATTATTAGACTTAAATATTTTTTTTTTTGGTGTTTAGAGAGCCACAAGGGCGGGTGATGAGAATCGATCTTAGGATCACCTAGGACCGGGAGGGGAGCTCTAACCACTTGAGCTATCCCTCACTCTCACATTATTAGACTTAAATATAATAGGATATCAATGATTTTTTTTTTAAATGTTATTTAGATTTTTTAGGCACCACACTTAGCTTTCTTATAAAAAAAAGCACTGCCTCAATAGTTGTTATTTTTTTATTTTTGATATGAATATATGATCTTTAGTTTCAAAGCTAGTTCATCTACATCCATAGCAGAATCATAACAAAACTAATAATAGTAACAATATAATAACAAATAAATATATACTGTATATCTTAAAATTTTCTAACGAAAATACATACTTGTAAGTTGTAATAGAAGTTAATTACTCAAAAGACAAAACCATAATCCTATAGAGCATACACACATAACTTTCGCATTTAAATATCTTCAATTTAATTTTGGGCATTCTCAAAATTTAATTTTGGGCATATCCAACTCTTTTATTATTATTATTATTATTATTATTATTATTATTATTATTATTATTTTATTTTTTTTATTTTTTTTGTAAGTTAGGCAGAATGATTGACAAAAATAAGACTTGACTAAGACATAAATCATGGTGTATAAATTGTTTTCCATTTTGGGTGTACCTAAGTTATATTTAGGCGTACCTAAAACGAAGTACTTAATTTTTTTTTTTATTATTTTTTTTAAATAGAAGTATTTTTACATTATTTCGGATAATCACATCCTTTTTTACTACTCTTGACTTTACTAGATGTATTGTAACTCTATCTAACCGAATTCTTATTAGCTTATCACAACTCTTATTAAAATAGAAAGACTAATTTTAAAAGATGATAGCAGTTGCTCAGCTAAAACATTACCTATTACATAGTGATTCTTAAGAAACCCCCTTATCTTAAATTTATTTAGGGATCAAGAAACAATATATTTGAATGTACATATATAGTACGTACTAAAGAGGTTCCAAATGACTACAATTTTGTCCCTAAATACAATGCTAAAGATATGTTTAATCTGCTTTTAATTGAAAAACAATTATAGAAATTCATACACGCATAGCAATTTTGTTTATTAGTCCCATTATTTACAACGAATTAACCTTGCGTATAACCATCATCAACCCCTATAGGTCTATAGCATTGCATATTAATTTTGCTTTTAGGTATCCCCAATTTAATTTAGGGTGTACTCAAAATTCGAATCTTATTAGTCAATCATGACGATTGACAAAGATAAGACAGGGGTAAAACATATATACTTAATGTACGTGGTGCATAACAATAATTAACACAAGTAGGCGGTCCCAAATGACTACTAGGTAGGCCTTTCTCAATTTACTGAACTGAACTGAATAGAGCTGAAATGAATTGTTTATGAGAGAAGGAAATAAGGAACTGAATTGAACTTAACTGAACTGAACTACACTAAACTGAACTGGAATTAAGCTGAACAGATTAGGCCCTTAGTCCCAAAATAAAACGTTAAATATCAGTTTACCTTCAATCGAAGGATCGATGATTATCGAAATTATACAAACAAGAATCCTAACAAATTAGAGTATTAGTCCTATTATTCCCGACGGAGGATTACCCTTTGTAGATAAAAAACTCTCAACCCCTATAGAGCATACATACATAAATTATTTGATGAAGGTTATTACAATCATATTAGGCAATTTCAATTAAGTATTATAGAATCCCAATATAAAATAGTTTAAGATTATTATAATCAATTATCCAGTTCTAATTATTACAATCAAATTAGGCAGTCCCATTAAGTATTATGTTAATGTAGTGTCAAGGTAGTTATTATATTACAACCAAAATAGCAGTTCCAATTAAGTATTATAGAGTCCCAATAAAGAATATTTGAAAGTCGATACAATCAAATAGGCAGTCCCAATTAAATATTATAGAGTCCTAATAAAGAATATATTATTTAAAGGTTATTACAATCATATTAAGTAATCTCAATCAAGTATTATAGATACACAATATAAAATATTTTAAGATTTTTATAATCAAATTAGGCAGTTCTGATTATTACAATCAAATTAGGCAGTCCCACTAAGTATTATGTTAATGTAGTGTCAAGGTAGTTATTATATTACAACCAAAATAAACAGTCCCAATTACGTATTATAGAGCCCCAATAAAATATTTGAAAGTCGTTACAATCAAATTAGACAGTCCCAATTAAATATTATAGAGTCTTAATAAAGAATATATTATTTAAAGATTATTACAATCATATTAGGTAATCTCAATTTAATATTATAGATACACAATATAGAATATTTTATGGTTATTATAATCATATTAGGAAGTTCTCTAACCGTTTTTTATTTTTATTTTATTTTTATCATTCCTTTTATTATTCATATAAAATCAAGTAGTAAGTAAAAATTAGGTGCCTATTTTTAATTTTTTGATATTACTATATAATTTTTATGTGGGTTCTGTGGTGAGATAAGATGTGAAAAAAGTAGATATTCTCCAAAGAAATTAAGCAAAATTGGTAAGATAAACAAAAGAACAAATGAAAATGAAAAGTTACTCGTAAGAAAAAAATGGTAAAATAAAAAAAAATAAAAATAAAAAAAAAACATATGAAAACTATCAAAAGTTACAC